TCCCCCCCCCCCCCCCCCCGAAACTGCCTCTAAAACAATTTTAGCTTTGGCAAATTGAAAAAATAAAAAATGCCAGGAAAAACTACACTTTCTTAGCAAGCTTTAGGGGTAATCTTTTTTTCTGAGTAACGTATTTTTTGTTGTTTGCTTGTTTGTTTTGTTTTAATGGATAGGATAATGACTTCGACTCTGCGGGTGGACTTCTGGGTGCGACTATGGGCAGACTGAGAACACTCTCCAGAGGAAGCCAGACAAAGCTATTATGCTACATGATGCTCTTCTCATTGTTTGTCTTTTTTGTAATATACTGGATTATTAAACTGAGGTGATGTGATACATGTTACCTCCAGTTTAAATGGTGTAATTTCAACTATAAAGCAGTCTTAATTAATGAAGACATTGATCTAAAGTGGCATATTCTGTTGATAAAACACAGTGAAATTGTTGGAAGTTGCATTAACAATTAATGCTATGTTATATATATTTTTCTTAATGTATCGGAATTTTTCCCATCATCCCCTGTTTTGGGGAGGATTATTTGTAAATATGCAGAAACTGCTAGCATAGTAGGTTGCTTTTTTAGGGGAAAAGAGGGTTTAGAATTGATTTTAAAAATACAGAAAACAGCAGTTGTTCGGATATGAAGTAACTGCAGAATTACAAGGTTTTTTTCTTTCATTCTGCTTTTCATTCTTGGCCATGCTCTAAATTAGAGCTCCAGTTTCAGGCATATAGTAATTTCTAGGTTGCAAAAGTATGAAGAATACTCAGATCTTTCTAAATTGGTTTTATCTGTGGATTTTTGAAAGGCTGTCCTGAAGCTAACAAATGTCATTGTGGGAACCCCAAAATTTTTTTGTGGGTAGAAGTCTGATAGTACATGTGTTTAAGTAGCTTAAACTGTGTGTTTGGTGGAGAAGTTACTTAAAGCTGTTGTTTTGGTTTGGGGTTTTTTTTTTTTTTTTTATTTCTATGTGACAAATCATGCTTACACATCTGCTCTTTTAGGCAAATGCCTTAGATCATTGGGATCAACCAATATGGATACAGTACAGATGTTTTCTTTATATTTAAAGTATCTAAACCTTAATGATTCCATTGAATCACTAGAACTTTTACCATTTGTATGTTTCCATTTGAATCTGTGATGATCCTTAAATCTACGCTGCATGATGTCTGAAACAAAGTCAGATATTTTGAATTTTATATTAAAGTATATTATGATGCACTTGCTGGAGGTGCTGTCATATTAAGGGTTTTTATTTTGAAGACTTAGCTTTGGCTCACCTAATAGTTTCTTACAGTTGGAGCTATTACATTGCTGAGTTCTACATTAAAAAAAGTTTCCTACATATTGAAATTGTACCTACAATTTTTTAAAAACTTTTCTAGAAATACTGTACGATGTGTTGCCATTAGTAACTAATTATGAACTGGTAAATAAAGTGTCCTGTAGTATTCCAGATAGTGTTGTTTATATACATTCTTTTCTACTGTAGAATAACAGTGTAATTTTTTGAAATGGTGCTACATTTAAGGGGCTATCATCTTGTGTATGCTGCACTACTAGAGTGAGAAATGAGGGTGTATGCTACATTTCTTTAATGTTAAATTTCATATATAATGGAAATATGACATGCAAGTCACTAGTACAAAACACATTATGTAAAAGTAATTTGAACTCGGTATCTCTAGCTGATTTAATCTTTGACTGTTGGAAGGTTTACTGTACCTCTGCAAGTAACAGAACATTTTAAGTACTAACACCAGGATAATGCATTGTCTTTATATGAGAATTTCTAGGCTTCTTAAACAAGTATGGCATTCCCAAAGCTAGTCAATAGATGTAGTTTGCCATCCACAATTAATGCACTTGTCTAATTTTAATGAGACAGTGGAGCGCAAGGTACCTAATAAGTGAGATGATAATTACTGACATGTTTGACAACCACACTCCTCTGATAGCTGTCATCTTCTAGAAATGTATTTCTGGCTCTTAAATATGGTGTCTGAACAATTTCTAGACATACTACTTTTTCAGCAATCAATCTGCCATCCTAATAAATGGAAAAAGTTTTTAGCTACCTAATCCACAGTATAAAAATGGGTGGATGCACCTAGTTATACAGCTGATACACTTCCTGTCTTTGTTCTGGACAATATGCCAGGGTGTCCCGTAAGTTCTGACAGAACACATGTTGGTTTCACCAGTCCTTCAGATCATGTATAAACCCAACAGGATTTCAGTTTTAAATGTCAAACCAGATTAAAAGGTAATACATGCAGAACAGGAACTATGCTGTCTTCCCTTACCACCTCCCAATTCTTCAATGGTGCAGAGGAGTGAGGGGAAGTGAACTGCAGGTAGAATCTGCTTTTCTGTGTTTCTTCATTTAAGGAGAGTTGTCAATTTTCTGTCTAGATAGGGTGGGAAATGGGAAGCAAGCGTAAGCACAAGGAATACATGAAGCCTGCAAGCAACTTTCTACATGTTCATTAGCAAACACAAGGGCTTTTTTGAAGTACTGAAACAGAGCTCCATTAGGTTCTTTTAGTAGGAGCATTCTGAACTGAAAGTCAAAACTGATAGGTTTCTCTCTGTTTCTATGTTATTTTACAGAACGTAGCACACTTCCCTTCAATTCCAGTAAAAGTTAATTTTCAGTTTAAAATCTGAACTGGGATCCTGCAGATTTGCTTAGAATGGTTAAGGTGGCTTTATGTAAAGGTGAAACTGCTTTGAGAATGTTTCAGGGAAGGGGAATAGCAATGGGTGAGAACCATATACCACAGCTTTAGAATTTTCCTCAGCATCTGCACTTGTTTTAATCGCCATTTTCTAGCAGAAAAGTACTGTCCTGACAGAAAAATAGTAGTAGCATTAATTGTAGTTTTACAAAGTTGCAGTTAATAGCAGCTACGTAAGAATACTGCAGTTGTGATTATTCTTGAGTTTAAAATCTGTTGTACGTAGTTTTTACACAATATATATTGCACTTCTCAGTTTAATGTAACCTAGACTCTATCTAGCAACTATACAGCTTATTTCCAGATGGAAGGAAATACTGTCTTTTAACTATAAAACTGTTAACCTTATGTATCATGGAGATTCCTTAGGAAATGCTTAACACATCCATTTCATTACAAGGATAATTCCACTGAAGTTTTGGTTTTCTTGCAGTAATACAGGCTGTCTCTTCTGGCTTAAATGGCTGATTTAGGAAGAGTTTAAGTAATTACACACAATTTTCATATTAATACATGTAAATATTTTTCTTTAATGATTACACACAAAAGATGATACCTTATTGCTGAAGTTCAGGCCTCCAAAGGCTTCAGATAAAATTAAGCAGTTCTTTGTAAAAATCCACCACTACTCCCATCACCAAACATCCATGACAGTGTAGTAAAAGTTGATGGGAACTTGGCCAAGATGGCAGAGCTCATTTTGATGATTACTTGCTAGAAGATGAAAAGGCAAGCTACTTCTAATGGAGAGCAAAATCACCATGCCAGTATTTGAATATGGCAGGGAATAACTTCTGCCTTAATACCTGGTCTTGAAAGCTACACAGAAATTAGGATCAGCTACTAGTGAAATCATAGCTGTATACCTATGGAAGTTCTGTTTCCTAATTGGCAACTTAGCTGCTCTAAAATGTAGATACACCTTGATTAAGGATGATGTTTCTTCTGGGTGCTTAGTGTGGATATGACTAAGCTCCCTGAAGCAGTAACCCTCTGAAACAATGGAAAAAAAAAAGTCTTGCAGGAGGCCACATGCTTTCAGACTGCTTCATATCAACTGAAATTTGACACTGGAGAACACACAGAATGATACTGGTCAAAGACCTTGACAAACATTTCAATGACAAAATTAGTTACTGCTTTGTACTTATTTTATCCTTGAAACATATGCTGGCTGTTACCTTCAGTGTGCAGTACAAGCCATGCTCTTGCTGTCTTAATTTTCAAGGAAGAGATGTATCACTTGGTTGGAAGTATTTCCATGTATCTGCAAATGATAGAAAGCGTTATTTCATCTGTACCACCTCCTATTGACATGAAACTCAAGTCTCTGTAGAAATACAAAGAGTAGATTTAACCATTTGCATGCTGTACTGATGGAACAAATGCAGAACTGTATGTATCTGTTTATTCTTCTATGGATTTGTTTTGGAGCTGCTTTTACTATATTGAAAATACTTCTTTACAGAAGTACATACATGGGGGGGACAAATGTGTTGTCAGCACTGTAAATATTTTGTGTACAGGGATGTTGCTAATTCAAAATCAAAAGGCCCAAGATAGATATAATTTGGCACATCCAATTTTCAGATTCTTTCAAAAATAACTAACTTTGCATAACATTTTGTTTTCATCTTGAAATGAAATGTCTCCTAGTATGCAACTGCCCTTTAAGGCCAGCCACTGAAACTGCATCTGAACTCCATACAGACTTCTCTGTAGGTCTCATGACTTTGGACTGGCATCTAAAGCATCACAAGTTCTTTCCAAGGTTTTATGCTGGGCTGCCTGCTTAAATTACCTACACATTACATACTACTAGCAGTTGTATGCAGAACATCTGATCCCCTGCTTACTCATGGTGGAATGGTCTGCAGTACTGCCCACAACATCTCCCCTGCTCTTTTGCCAAAGCTGTAGGGGCCTAAGCCCGCAGCTGAGGGGAAAGAGCTTTTGGAAGGCCAGCAGCAAAAAGTGCTGCAGCACTTCACTTTGCTTAACTGTGTGGTGTAAAGAGAGAATTGTATGGAGAAGGTACAATTTTCATTCAAGTTTTTTAACCAACGAGCATCCTCCTGGTCTCCCTACTGGCTATGTGAGATCTGTCATAAGCTGTGTTAGAATTATATAGTATTATCGTATTATAAGTATTATAGTGTAATATTAATATTGTGTAGTATTATGGCATAGTATTATATAGTATATAAAGCTGCTCTGCTTTAAAAATTAACAGCTGCTCCAAGCTTACTTACTTTTGATTTGATATTTCTAATCACACGCATTTAGAAACCGCCATTAATATCACTGAGTCATCCCTAACAGTGTTGCCTAAGTTCCCTGAGCTAGCCAGACCGCAAACTGCTGTAAGCTTAAGCAATTGTCTTGTTGGGCCTTGCCGAAGGCAGTTGAGCTGGAGCCATGGTAGGTTACTTGTTCTTTGTGTTGCGGTGTTGTCTGCTTTTTCAAGCTGCAGAAGGGCCCTGCAAATGCTTAGCATCTTGCATCTTCACAGCACTGTAGCAACAGTAAGTAATTAATCCTCAGAACTCCTCTGTGATGCCAGTAAAATTTTGGAATCCTGGATACATGTGGCTTCTTATATCAAGTTATAAACAGGCAGTGGTGAGGTCTGGCTTTGGTAGTGTGTGACAGATACATCAGGTTATCACATACATTTGTTTTAAAAGACCAAAACACCTTTCACGTATGTTCTTGTTTGTGTGGATATATATATATATATGTGTGCCTACAAAACTGCTGGTGATTGTATTTTTGTCTCTATGGGTTAAATAAGGAATATCTCCTCCAGAATCTACAGGCAGGTGACTAATGTTGTTCTCTCTCCTGGGGAGACAGGACAGAAGGTTTCACCTAATTTAACAGGATTGAGATGACAGTGATTTTAATCTAGCAGCCCTCTTCTGGGAAAGAGACTTCCCTTAAGCATTAAGAAAACAAAACCATAGGACTAAGTATCCTGCCAGGAACTCTGTGAGGTAGCTGGGAAGATAACATAGTAACGTAAGCCTGTATTTGAGCTCCTTATTGTAAGTTTATGGTTTTAGAGTTTATATTGTGTCAATAATTAATTATTAATACAGCATATAAATATTTTAATATATTTAAATATTAGAATTTTATTGCTTTAGTTAGGCTAGCCATGGAATGCTTTTGATCTGGCACAGCAATGCTTGGCTTTCTGATTTCTCCATCTCCTCATTGCTGCCCCCATGACAGAGCAGCACGTCCTGCACTACCTGCAGCCCTGCTGAGATGAAAACTGACCTGTGGTGGCTTCACTCTGGCCAAGGACAGTGAGGAACCAGGCTGCAATGCACTGTACAGTTATGTAAAGGTGTCATTTTGAGGGACCGAACCCGTAGCTGCTTGTTGAACACTGTTTTCCTTAGGGAGTTTGAGTCTGCCTGAGGAAAGAGAGAAATCCTGACTGTTGTGTTCTGCCCCTTAAAACACTTCCTGCAGAGTTTCCTGCAGGAAATCCCATGTACCTGAAACATCCACTGTAGATTGTAAAACTTACCCTACTCAACCAAATCAAGAAATGTAAATGTTAAAAAGCAATATATTTTTTGACAGACTAATAAAAAAAAAACTTCTTCAATGCTGAGTTAAAAACTGCACAAGGGAGGGTGAGGAGCCCTTCCCACCTGCCAAATTCAATCCAGGTTATTTCTAGTAAGGCAGCAAAAGGAACAAAAAGGACCCTCTACATCGTTAAATCAAGTTTCCCATCTCCATAGGTACCACGTCATATAACCTCCTTCAGAAATGTATCAAGCACTGCTCTGAGGAGAAAGAACAAGCTCTCTTTAATCTTAGACTATCCTAATTTGAAGGCTGTCGCGTAACAAAATTGATTAAAAAACATTTACCCTTTTTTTCTCACAATTATTAAAGTTGTACCACTGGCAAGATTTTTCTCCACAAAATACATTGATGTACCCTCGACTTTAATACTTCGCAACTTCTTCCATCTTCAGACTCAGCTAGATTGCTTATGGCCTGTCCAAATTAAGCAGCATCTAAAGGAAACTTGGATCCAGAGGAAGAAGTGTGAGCACCCAGTGCGGCAGGCCCAGGCTGGCACTGCCTGCCAGTTCGCATGGCCCTGCTCGTTTCCAGTAAGGGGCATTCTGAAGGCCCAGCTGAGCAGGATGGGCATCACCTTGGCTGGCTCTGGAGCATAGCTCTGCCTTAAAGTCATCACTGTACACTTACCTATTTTGATTTGCCATATTAGGGCTAAATGTCGTGCTTCATCTCCTAAATTCCCTCTCAAGGTACTCATAAAAGCCAACCAAAGCAGTAGACAGGCATCTGTCCCAAAACCTCTGCAGAAAAAGATTGAAACTATGCCTCTGTTTTCACAGATGACTGAGAAATCGTTATTAAGTCTTGTCCCAACAGTTAGCTACTGATTTAAAAGCAAATTGGTTTTGTCAGCAGAAACAGATAGGTTTCATTTCATTTGGTACAACCATAAATTATGATGACAAAGACTGATTAAAAAGAACCCAATTGTCTAGTCTCATTCTAGTATAGACATGCTTCATAAAGAATGAAATACAAAAAATGAAACAATGAAACTGAATATTTCAATTGACTTTTTAAACTGTGAGGAATACAAAAAAATAATTTAGAAATAAATGCATTACTTATTCAAAAGAAGTCCACTTAAAACTATACAGAAGTTTGATTTTTAACTACCCTGAATTACAAATAAAACTTCATATTGTGATACCTAGGTGACAGTTGAGAGAAAAAAAGAAATCCATTTTTCTTCTGCAGCTATGAGCATTTGCAGCTATGAGCATTTGCAATGCTATTTATGCTTCATCTATTTCACATGAGCAGTCAATATTTTTCACTACTGCTTTCTCGAGTCTTTCACAGTGCAGCAAGTAAAGAAATGATTGCATTTTCTCCATCACACCCGACAAGAGTAAAACTTCTAAGAACTGGCAGCAGTTAAGACATAGTGTTTAGTACTTAGAAACAATCTTAACTTCAAAACAAACCAACAAACTTTAAGAAGGCCAGACAAGTTCTTCCTATAACAACTGAAGTGTAGATAATCGCTATTAAAATATATAGATCACTACCTGGAATTTTTTAAAATTCATATTATGTCTGGAAAATTGCAATATAGTTGCTATGAATGTTTTCCTCCCTCTGATCTCTCACAACCTGGGGTTTCATAGATTGTGGGTTTGTTCAATAACTGATTTTTCCCAAGTCACGATGTCTTTGAGGCATTTGGTATAGGGGAGAGAAAAATAAACAAACGCAACTCCAGTCTGACAATCTCCTTCTCCAGAATCCTATGAGTAGGGTAAAGTCTGGAAAGTCAACTCCTAATGTTTTTCATATTGGCTTGTATTTCTCTATTAAACCCTTTGATATCTGGGCACAAAACTTCTTTCAAACTCATTCTCATTCCCAGAATCCCAGCAAGTGAAAATGAGACACTCACATATATAAAACCAGCCCTGTACAGGGACCTACATAGTGAAACATCTATCTTTACATCTTCCAGAGAATTACTGCACTTTAGAAAAGTCAGTTGTTCTACAAAGTTTGAAAGACAAATTATTAAAATGACAGATGTGACTGAAGTAATTTGGCAGATAGTTTTGTGCTGGGCCTGTTTATTATCTCCCCACTAACACTAACAACTAGAATTCAAAGACTTCATGCATTAACCATGCATTATGCTGTTTGCTCTTTGAGGAATAACAGCCCGACATGTGACAAAGACTAATATTTCCTCAGAAACTTGGTAAGGATTATGCTACAAAAATTTTTATACATTATGACTGGATGTCGTGCTGTGCAGTTATGCTGCTTGCTACTTGACAAGCACCACAGTGACGTGAATGGTTACTCAGACTGCTGTACAAAAAAGAATGGCTTTAGGAAAGTTGCTGCTTTGCTTATCATTACAGATTAACAAGATTCTAACTTGAACCTGTAATTGTTTATTTAGGTAATACTCTTGCTTTTCCCTTCCTGGAGCTTACGGTTACTCAACGATGGACTTTTACTGATTCATATAAAATTTTAGAGTACAAATATCACATCACCTTTAGCCTCATTTGTAAGAGTGTTTGATTTAGAGACAGAAAGGTATGTTTCTTCAGCCAACTGACAGAGTTTATACCAGTTGGAAATACTCTGGATGTCTTCTCAGGAAAAAAGTGACTGGGCTGGTGTACTTAGAAACCACTCTGGAATTCACATGGAAAAGCCCTGCCCAAACTCAGCAATAAAATACCAGGCTAGGAAATCTAAAGACAAATCAAAATGATATAGAGGCACATGCACATTAATGTGTACACATTACTACATGGACAGTAAGTGCTGCAAGAGAAGGATTAATTTTATTCAGCGTGCCTGCTGCAGTAGCTTTTAACATCACGACCATTAGCTGCTAATAAAAAGGCTGTGAAAAAAACAAGTAAGAAAAAATATCATATTGACAGCTGGCTTAAAACCACCACCATACAGCAGTCTGAACCTTCACCAGAGAATTTCAGGAATTCATGAGTCAAAAAAGGCTGAGGATCTCTCTGGCTTACCACAATGGCATTCTTGTTCATAAAATGCTATTAAAATAGAAAAAGTAACTCAGCCTGCTAGAAAGAAACCAGCTTTTTATAGATTTTTTTGTGTTGAGCTCTCACTTTACAGATACACTTACCAAAGCTTTCAACTAACTGAACTACTAACCAATTTTGCTAACCTTTGATTAGGTTTCATATATGTAAGGGCTGAATTAAACTCTCTTACTGCAAGAAAATGCAAGTTCCTTTTTGGTCCTTCTACACAATATAAGACACCAGGGCCAGAAATTTCCTAACGGCTGCCAGAAAACTATTTGCTCAGAGAGAATTTTGCTGTAAGTAGATATATAGTAAAATTTGAATGGACTTTAATTAGCTTGCAAAAAGGCATCTGTACCATTTTAATGACCTAACAACTGCTGGAAGCAGCTATGACTTTCATACACTCCACATGGTATCTGGTGTGACTAATCAGGTGGAGACAGATATCAGAAAAGGCTGAAGGAGCCTGACGGTGAACTCCAGTTTCACACACATATCTAGAGGAAAAGATAAAGGTGATTTTCATCAGGTTTGGAAGAAAGCTTCTGTTGTGTTTTAGTTCTGTTCTTGTAATCAAGCAAAGAGGAAAAGTACCATCTGTTTGTAGGCTTCCCTCTTTTTACCCTTGTCCTATTGTCTAGTAGATACCAGAGGACCATCAGGGAAAATGTGGACTTAACTTATTTCATCTGAAGTTCAAGCTAACCTGTAGGTAGTTCAAACTACACAGTTATAATGCAAGGCCAAGATTTGGCAAAGGAATAATCAGCCTATGTCCTGAGACTCACACATGATGCCCCAAAGTCAATGGGCTATGGATGCCCTTGCATTCACCAGGTACATGAGTAACACACCATTCAGGGAAACACCACCATTCACAGGAGCTGGTGCCCTTTTCAAGTGGGTGATTTTTTAGCAGGGCATTTCAGAGGCCAGATTTCAGTAAAGCCATTTCCTATTCTCTCCACTCACTCACCTGTACAAACCATGACCTCACTGGTGAATCCCATTCCTCCCCAAAACTGGAGACAGCTATCAGTCACTTCACAGGCCAGATGACCTGCCTTTAGCTTAGCCATGGAAACAACTTTTGTCACATCATTGCCTTCCACATAGAGAACTGAAGAAATAAAACATAAGTAAATAAATAAATCAGACTTACTCACATGGTCACTGATCACAGCCTGCCTCTCTGCAATCACCTCCCCATGTTCCTTCAGCCTTAACAACGTTCCTTGCATGAAGAGAAGCACATCTGGGAAGGCAGATGCGGGAGCTCATTAGCAGTGCAGTACAGCAGCGAGTGCAGGAGCTCCACTTCGGTTGCCATCTCAGCCAGGCAGAAGTGCACGGCTTGGTTGTTCAGCACAGGCCGGTCAAACACTTGCCGCTGGCAAGTGTAGTCAATGATTTCTTGTATTATAGCTGCCAGTGGTGTCAGGACTTGAAGAAGCAAAGCACAGAACAAGACATAATTTTAGCCAGATCTGTTGCTCTTCTTGGAAAAGATGGGGGCTTTTTACATTGTACAAACAAGACATTAGGTTTTCTAAGGTAAATTACTCCATACACTCAGTGTGGGGTGCAGTTTCAATTCTGAAAAAAGTCTGATATTTCTTTGTACCTTGAAGACCTCTTAATCACTATTTTACCTGAGTCCCAAACTGCCAAAACTTTGAGGAGAGTGAAGAAGGGTGGGGAGGAGGGAAGGAAAGTTATAGAAAGCAGTATGTGATGATGATGAGTATGTATACTTTAACCTCAATGCCCCAATCACGGCCCAAGCAAAACCTGGTGGCAACGCGTTTTCCATGCTACCTGCGTCCTGAAGGCCTGCTACTATCCCAGAAGAAAATGTGAAGGCAGACAGTGTGCTCACAGAAGAATTCTGTAGAAATGTAAATTCAAGGAAGCTTTCAAGAAGAAGGCAGAAACCTCTTCAGAGATCAAGGAACATGAACAGACTACTTACTACGTCTGCATTGTGATCAGATCCCAGTATAAAAAGAAAGGGAAAATCATTAAGATTCACAGTGCTTCTAATGAAAACAGAATCAAAATGGGATACTACTAGAAGTCAGGTGAGCAAGATGGCAGACATTGCCTTAAAGAGAACTATTTCACTGCTACTTTTTGAGCAAACTTGGAGATAACCTGTTTTAAACAAGAAAAAAGGGAAAAGTTCTTTTCCAAGCCAAATCAGCCTTGAAGTGAAGGGCTAGGCTATCATACTTTTGCAGCTTAGCTAGGATAACAGCAGGTACTGAATTTGTGGAGAATTCTGTTTGGCAAATGCGGACCCATGTCACTATGGCAAGAAGTGGGGAGAGAGAGTTCATAAACCCATCTGTATGAGAAGGGTCACATTTTCTTTTTTCAAAAGATGCGTATCCACACCCTTTCACACTTAGAATCTAATCATCAAAACTGAATCTGAAATGCAAAACACAAGCAAGGCCTGGACTACTACAAAATCCCTTTTCCCACCTGCCAGTTACTCACATGACAAGACTTCATTACGGGAGCCTGGTGTACTTCCATATTCCTTTTTTCATCACTTTCCAGGTCACCTCTATTTAAATTTCATCCCTATACTGCTCTCATATACAGACTCTGCATCCCATCAATTGCCCCCTGCCATGACCATTTACCAGCTTTTCAACAGAGCAGTATTTTTCATATGCTGTCCCCAGACTCTGTAAGGTAATCAGATTTTCTCATGCTTTAAATATTTCCCCCTTCTTTCTCAAACAGCTAAACTCAATGCTTGTTTTTCAAAAGAGCATATACTCTAATGTCCTCATTTCCATGCTATGCACTATGCTGCCATCCTAATGTTAGTTTTTGGACAAGAAAATAAATTCCTGTTTTCAGGATATCTCTTGTACAAAGGAACATCCCTGTTCTTCCAAAGGACCATTTAACACTGTAGCATGTGTAACACTAACAGCTTTTTCATTTCTATGTCTATGGTGTCCAGATTTAGAGATGATAAAGAAAGAGCAAGAAGTGTCCAGGAACCTTTTGTCCTTTGTCCCCAAACTGATACCTGTGAAGCATACAGCCAAGTCGGAGCTGCTGGGAGGGAAACTGAGCAATACCTGCCAGTGTTAGGAGAGGAGAAGGGAGGTGGGAGGACAAGAGGTCTTGTGTTTGTCAGAGCAAGGTGTTCCAGCATGGCTCCTACGGTTCTTAGCATCCAGCACCGGGGAAAGAAGAGGTGGGAAACAGCAAAATGAAGGCAGGAGCAGGACCATTGGGAAGAACAGAACAGCACCTATTTAGGTCCTGCGTGTAAAAGGGTTGAAGATGATGAAGGGGTTTTGGCCCATCCCTGCTCAGGCTGTCACCACACATCAGGGCTTGGAGTGGGGGTCTGAGAAAACTGCTTTCACAGTACCCACCTCTCTGCTTCACTGCCTCCTCCCTGACCCTGCTGATCCATCCTCCTGCTTCCTTAACTGCCATCACCACCCTTCTTCTTATTCCTGGAACTGTCATTTGCACACAGACTTAACAGAGGAATTCTTTTAAGGACAGTCCTGGGCTGCATTGAAAGAAGTATGGCCATCAAGGCAAGGGAGGTGATTAACTCTACTCTGCTCTGGTGAGACCCCACCTGGAGTAGTGTGATCAGCTCTGGAGCCCATAGTACAAAAAAAGACATGGACCTGTTGAAGA